ATATAGAGGAAACATGCAAGATATGTTGAGGAATGGTCTAAGATTCTTTCACAACCATGAGACAGGTGACATGCCACTTAAACAGTGACTTTTGCACAAGGTCACTTGACATACCGAGCAGGTCATGAAGTAACACATCATATTCACCTGACATGGACTAAAGTCTGAATTAGTGCTCAAAACTAACACACTAATGTTTTTGCAAATTAGGGACAGTCATATTTACAGATGAAAACAAACATCTTATGCAAAAAGGAAACATGGACAGTGTAGTGAAATCTTGATTTACAAGGAGCACATGGAATGTTGATGTAGATCAGGACCTGGATGAGTCATCTACCAGGGTATAGTACTTTAAATACAATATGAGAGGTTTCTGTTGGTTCAGCTTACCAAAATTTGCTCATTTAAAAAATAAATATAGTATACAGCATTCAAACAAATGAAAGAAACTTATTGAAGTGCAAAAATTAAAGCCCCTGGAAAAAGGACATGGAAGATCCATCCCTCATTACTTATTATTCACATCAGAATGCTGATGAAGTCAGGAAATGTCAGGAACCATAATTACTGTAAAAGATAACACTGTCAAAGCTCTTCTTCCTAGGATAGCTTCCTGTTGCTTCCTCCCAGTCTAGGTGAGTCACTGTACAGGCATGTCCTCCTTCAGCCCACACATATCACAACATGCCTACATCCCAGGTAATACTTATCACTCTGAACATGCCCATATAACCGAGATCAGCTGCACAATATACATATTTCACTTGTTAACTATGTCCCTCTCAACGTAGGGTTTCATAAAATATTTGTATAGCATAACATATATAGGTAAATATCTATACACACAAGATAAACCTCAAAACCACTGAACCCAAAACATCAGAAAAGGTATAATTCTAAGACAAAAAAAAATCTTAATTGCAAATATAGAAATGCAACATCTGTCTAAATTGTTTAGATTTTGACGAATACATGTTTGTAAAAATATTTAAGTACAGATTTAAAAATCTGGAACCAAGAGAATCGGAAGATAAACTATAAATAAAAAAATAGTCATCATTGTGTATTATTCGAAGAATACTACCTCAATTACATCATTGCCAAGTTGCAGGAATAATGTGGAATCACACTAAAAAACTCCCTAGATTTTCATCAGACCTCCAATTCACAGTCAGCTATCCTAAACAGTTGTAAGGTATACCGTACCTCATGCAAAAGCCATTGCACATGGCGGGAACAACATCACTTCTTTCTAATCACTGCATCCACTAGATGAAGATAAATTGGGGAGGTGGGAGGGACTGCTCCTGATGTAAATGAGGTGGTATTCTGAGAATTATTCACAATGATATGTATAGCCATATATCAATACCCAACCTCTTACATCATAGCCAGAATACACAAGATGGATTGGTGGGATCTAGCATATAGTAATCTAGGATAGCTCACACCAATAATGATAATAATCCATGGAAACATTAAGAAAATGCACAATACCTTGATACTTTCACTGGAAATACCATGATATTTGGCATCTTCATGATGTCACTTCTGGCTGTTATTATGTCACTTCTGGTTGTGATGATATCACTTTTCTATGAGTGATCTCCATCTGGATTCATTGACATCACTTCAGACAACCTGATGTCACTTTCTTCTTTGTCATCACATGTGGTGTTATTGACATCTTATCTGTCCTTACTTCCATAGAACTATAGATCACCACAAGATGTTAGTATGAAAACCAGTGTTAACCTGGATCTGTCCCCCTGAGGCCGATATTTGATAAAAGGGTCAAATTTCCCTTGTTCTTTCTTGAAGAAAAAGCATGACCTGTTACAGGGATACTATAGCATGTGCACCAACCAAATGCCTCAAGGAATATAGACCCCTTTAATCTGGATATATGTCATGGAAGTAAAACTTGGTAAATGTATTTTGGGACCTCCACTGACAGCTTGATACAACTTGTTCTACTGAAACTGATCCCCAAGAAACTAGCGAAGTTGATAATGCTCTGATCTCATGAGCCTTAAAGTCACTCCAGAAAGGCGGGGAGAGCTCTGCATGTTGGTACTTTCGGGGGTAGTGGTTTGGAGATGTCTTCAGACGGCTTGCAGGACTTTTCCTGTGGTGACAATGGTTTTGCGTTGCTGCAAAGTAATACTTGAGTGCTCGCATTGGACATAAAAGTCAGAATCCACACTTCAGCCTAGAGGAGGGAGGGATGGAGTATTGCCAATGACCTAACAGGCCTCTTGCCATAGTCTGATTATTTGGCAATGAACTCTGCGAGAGCCTGCAGAATTGGCACCCTCTCTCGCCTCTAGGGCTAGGCCTGCTTCCCCCTCGATTGTGATGCTAGGAAGTTATGGTTGTCTGAGGGGCGAGGACATGAGTAGCCCGGAAAAAATAATCCTTCAGGCTCACACTTTTCCTTGCCACTGTTAGCAATTGTCCTAATGAGACCGAGCAGACTGAAACAGTCCAGATTTTCCCATGTCAAGCATGAAGAAACAGTCGGCCTCTTGATTTATGCCTGGCATATACTTCTTTGCCTCTCTTTGCGTGTAAACACTGTGCACTTGACCATCACATGAGTGAGTGGTAATGTTACAGAGAAATGTGAATCATGCTACTCCTCAACAGACAACTGTCGTGTCTGGGATAACCTTTCCGTGTTGATAAACCCTGACCCCTGGCTACTACAGCGATCTGAGCAGGGAGATAGAGGTGTGGTCAGACGGATTGGTAAGTCAAATGTCCAGAGATGCAGCCTGTTGTCATGGATTCTAAACGATGATCAATATAAGTCGAAAAGGATTTAGCTGACAACGCTGTGATTAAGGCTTGCATGGACTCATTAATGGATGACATCAGTGACTTAAGTCGATGGTGATGGGAGGACACTACTGTATCCTTCCTGCCTGGGTGGGATATAGGACAGAGTCACAAAGTCCTTCTGCATAAAAAATGTCCTGGTGGAGGACTCGGTAGATGCCTTCCCCTACATTCCTTTGAAGATGACGACATAGCAGCAATGCCTTCCCATGATGATCGTAGAATGACGAAAGACGAGTCAGAGACACCGGTACATTCAATGTGTCGAGATGTAATAGTGCATAACACTGCTCGAAAGAGATTACACTGAGTATGCGGGTCCCCGACTGTCATGGTGTTGCGGTACTCCAGGCAGGCTGGCAATGGGGTTGAGTGCATGCTCCCAAAATACATTACAAAATCTTACCTACGTGCACCCAGATAAGAATGAATGTATAGTTTTGTCTTTTGCAATTTAGAACTTTAACTTTTGTAGTGAACAAAATAATGTGTGCAAGTGTGGACTGAAAAAGTTCAGGCTTTTTGTAACTTGCACACAAAGGAAGGGAGTGCCGATTCCCGCCATGTGCAAAGGCTTTTGCATGATGGTTGCAAGTGAAGTTAATGTCTGTTAAAAATCTAGGGATTTTTTTATTGTGATGTTAGTCAAACTAGCTTTAATATATTTTTATTTGCGATTGCTTCATCTTTAATTAAATAGAAAAGTAAATAGAGCTGCTTAAATGAAATGAAAGGTTCTTATTAACTTCATAAATAACTGATCAAATGAATGGTATATATTCTGTAGCCTCTACAAACACTCTATCTTGAGAACAAGCCTTCTCGGACAAGTAAATCCATAAAACCTTAAAAACAGTAAAGATACCTAAAAATGAACTTGTATTATTATGAATACACAATATTGTATTATTATATTCCCTCTAAACCGACTGCCCCAAGCTACTCACCGGCAAATAAAAATATATAAACATTGAGATACTATAATTTACTTTTCTTTCTACCTATCCAAACTACTTGTTAAAAATAAGTGTAAACCATACAAAAAGTGTCCTTCTTTCACCATGCAATTGTACAATGATATAAAATGTAGATTTGGGAATCTTCCCATACACAGGATATGAGTATGATAGATGCTCATAAACAAGTAGCCAATTTATTTGGCCCACTCCAAGTCTTCAGTTTGGCATATGAATTGGTTGATCCATTCAGTGTCAGCTAGGTTGAAGTTAACGGAATATGTTAATGCATGAACACCTTGGTCAGTATAATAATGACACACGGCCAAGAAAACATCATTCCTCACAACATGAGAAAAAAACTATTTTCATCAAACTACATGTACTTTGAATTAACCTTAAGGCAACATACCTTGTAAGGGTGTCTGAAGAATAGAAAATCTTTGCTCAACTAAGCATCGTAAGAATGGACTATAAATGAATGTATTATTAACTTTATACTAGTGATAGGTTATATAGCTCAACATGAACTAAGTCAAGATTTCCTGTCACTTGGATCATCAGGATGCACAGATTGAAAGAAAAGAAAAAAACCTCAGCCATCCGGCTCTGCAGGTGATGTGGATATTGTATTACATCAAATATTAATCAATCATACTTTCCAATCATTTAAGATAATATTTTGATTTTGGAAGTGTGGAAGTGGAATATTATTCTTAAGTGTTTATTATCCTTAAAATACAAGTCAGGTTACAGGCAAGATGGAGGACATGGTGAGCATAATATCCATCCTCTTGGGATCATACTAGTTAAAGTGAGAACCAATCAATAAGCCTTCTAACAACTGATCTGAAATTAGAGCAGAGAAATTAAACAAAACGTTTTTGCAAGTACTTGTCAAAGCAGAAACATGTTTCTTACAATCATTTTCATCAAAGCCTGAAAAATAGACAAATACCACTATGCACTTCCAGTTCAAAACCATTACCGTATTCGACGTAATAAGCGCCCCGCTCTAATAAGCGCCCACGGCGATATTTGCTAATATATTGGCTAGTGAACAATCCCAATCAGCACCCCTTCCGATTGATCAATGTACACAGGACCTTTTCATTCATGTATAATACGCACTCGTGTGTTATATCACCCTTAATTATTGGCAATTAAATTCTGGAAAAATACATCCGTCGCATGTAAACATTTCAGGCTGTTAGCATAAACCACGAAATTTACGAGCTTTCAACTCAAAATAATATTCTAATAAGCGCCCCCTATTTCTAATTTTGAGAGCGCCCTGGGCGCTTATTACGTTGAATACGGTACTTGCTTACTATGAAAAATCTCAATCCAGAAAATACCATGTCTCCAGTTACAATAACAAAGAACTTAAATAAAATTCCAATCTGGACCAGGAACTTACATGCCTAATGAAGGAAAACTTGAGCTCTTCCAAGCCTAATAATAAGAAAGTAACATATCCAGTGTCACCTCTGGTTTTAAGAAACATATTTATACAGTGCAGGAGGACTTTAAAGAAGGACATTCCCTGTACCTCAATCTTACTTAAAAAGTAATTAAGATGCACTGCTGGTTGCGGTGAACCAAAACTGTTATGACGTCATTAGCTGTTGTCCATAAATTATATATCTAAATACTACAACCACTGCTAAACAACATTTTACTGACTCCATTCAATGACGCTGTGGCCTTGACTTTGATATAAATCAGTTGAACTACTAATGATTCTCTAAAATCTAAAGATTCTACATGTAACTGTGCAAAGCTACTACCAAAGAATGAAAAAATCACGGTTCACAGAAACCTCAATACCTTAATCTTTTAACAGCAGGGTCCCATCCTAGAGTAGGCACAGTGGAATCTGTCTAAATCAGACTGGTGTGAACTGAGATTTATAAAGTCTGGTTTAGACAGCAGTCTGAATGAGAGACAAATCTGATTCTAGCAAACAGTTACCATATGTCTCTTGATGTCCACCGTGTACATGACCATGATGCTTGGAATCCAGCCTACACTGGCAAAGCCCACTTGTCTTAACTGATCACAAATAAACACAATAAATATTCAAAACAATGACATTGCCTCCCGCAGTACCAGATGTGGCTTTGCTAAATTAGATGAGGTAAAATGGGGCTTAATATCGCATTCAAGATTATTGCATTACTATAGAGACATGCATGTGTGAGCGACTAAAATCATTCTTAATAGCGCTAGCCCACTGAGATACCATGTGCAAATAACATATTTATGTTTGTATAAGGCATATTTACATTCAAAAGATCCGATTAACTTGTGAAACAATACTTGGAACATTTACAGTCATCCCTGGTTGACCTGACCTGTCTCAACATGCTTTATTTCCCATTTTCTGGCATTCTTTTCAGAGAAGAAAGACATCACATGACAAGAAGGGGAGAGAAAGGGTAAACACTATTATTCAAACAAACTTAATCTCAACAGTCAAATATACTATAAATCCTTATCAAATGTATCTGTTTGAGGTATTTGATAGTTATGTAAATGGAATTTAGAATAAAACTTTATTGTATGCTATGATGTAAGGTATGTTACCATAGAGCCAAGGCCATTCTCAACATCAATCAATCTTGTGTCATCACATTCTTTGTTAATGAAAACAGATTACTGGACATGCGAGGACGTGTGTGAAGTTAATCAGGACTCGAGACCATCAATTACATAATAAATTGGTCTGCATATGGAGTGAAGTAAATCTGGATCAGACAGACTTTAGTTGATGATAAATGAATGCAGTTAAATTCAGGGCTGTAAACTTGGTCAGTATTGACAGAGATCCGGATTAATCAAAGTCAAGCGTAGACAGATTCACAAACTTTTCAATGAGTTTCTTCTGTCGTGACCTGGAACTTTGACCCAACATGACACAGAGCCATTTGCAAGAAGAATATTGAAGGATATCCTGTTTGACTGGTTCGACACTATTCTCGCTGCGCTCCTATTGGGGTATTGAATAAGAAGCCATATGGCCAGGGATTGAACCACCGACCTTCCGCTCTCAGGGCAGATGTCTTTAATTAAGTAATTGACATGAAGTAGTTAGGGAAATTCAAGGGATTCACAGATCATGCATTTTAAGGCAGCATCTAAATTAAAGGCATTTTCCAGCCGATGTGGGTCCTGTAAGTTTGCCTGCCAAAGGCAATACATTACAAAACAAACATAGTACCACAAGACTCTGTATCCCACCTGACTGGGACTGGAATTAGACACATTATTGTTGTAATCATACACACAAATTACATTAAAAAAGGTGGTTTCAGAGGAAATGTCAAAAGTGAAAGTGTGTGTGTGTGGGGGGGGGGGGGGGGGGGGGGGGGGGGGAGCTGTGGGGGGGAGAGGCAGGGAGAGCAGAGAGAAAGTAGTATTATATTCCACAGACCTAAAGCTGTGGCTCATATTTCATAATTATACATGCAGAAATGACCAACTACTTGACAATTATGACATCTCCAGTATGGCTACCATAGCAACCACATGTTAAAAAGAACAAAATTTCATGAGCATGATATAGATACATAATTTGAATCATCCAATCAAAGTTACTGGACCAGAGGCATTATAGTTACAGGGAGGAAGTGAAAACTGTAAGTTTATGCTCTAGTGTTGGACAGAGCAATAGACAATGCACCAAAGCTACAAAAAAAATCACTTGAACTTAAGTTCAGGCGAGCTAAAACAGTGAAAAGGTTCATGATACCCAAAACAGATACTAGAAGACAAAGGTAAAAAAAACAACTAACCCCACAAATACCAAAATCTGAGATGATCCAATAGGCCAGGTGAGTCTTACACACTACTTGACTGTATTCAGCCTATTTCTGTGGCAGTTATCAGCTCATTTCTTCATGGTGTCAGCAGGATGTGATGCATTGGTCATAAGTAACCTCCAGAACATGAAGGTTGATCTCTCCACAAGTGCTGACACATCTCTTATCCATTATTTGAATCTGTATGTAATCTATTTGGTTTTGGCATTGTGGCACTTATTGGTTTCCTTGTGTATAGTAATAGAAAATGTCAGATCTTGTATCAAGGGTCCAGACTGTTTGGCACATTGTGATTATCCCTTGTCCTGATAGTCTCAATCAGTAGGCTAATCTTCTGTGTGCAGGCTACAGGTTGAGACATTATGACTCAACACAATCACAGGTCTAAGGTAGGTCAAGGCACAATTTATGTATGCTAGTATTTGATGTGTCTTCACTACCACAGTGTGACGATACATACTCTCTGTGTGAGCAATGACAACAATTTGCATAGAGATTATATGTGTAGTTAAATATATATCTATATAAATGTATGCCTCTCTTCAAGCAAGGCTAAATCTCACATCTGTGGCATACTGTGTGATACTTACACTGACAGCTAAAGGTGGTGCCAGTTGCAGGAATGTTGTCAAGTCTACATATTGTACAGATCATAAATAGTAATATCATTTAACAATAGACAGGAAAAAACAGTGTAAAAATATATACACTAGAAACAGCTTAACATGGGCATCGACTTTGGTTGGGACTTTAATGTTGATGCAGCACATATCCACTTAACATTAGGAATATAACATTTTTCAATGTATTTGTAACATAACATGATCCATAAATGTTTTCAAATAGTAATTTTTAAACAGGAACATTCCTCCTTCATTACTGAAGACAAGTAGTGAACCTAGCTATGTCCATATCAGTGTGGAATACTTGGGGTTCCTTCTAAATCCTTGTAGTTGTGGGAAACATTACCGAGCTCCCATCTAGTATGCAGCAGTGACATGGCACTGATCGAGACAGCGACAGTTCAGAATACAGTATTAAATCAGCCTTCTACTCTTTTTCAGTTTGTTTAGAACATGATCATGTAAAGTCACTGGGAATGACATTAAGACATCTTCATATAATCACAAACATCACTTGAATGGGAATGACATTATGGAGTTCCCTTCCTTTCTGTGTTGGCCATGAGGTTTCGCAGCTTCTGTAGGTTGGCCATTGTCATAGAATCATCAGGTTTCAGTTTGAGAGCAGACAGGTAGCTGCGCTCAGCCTCGGCCAACTTCCCATTGATATGCAGGATAGCACCCAGATTCATGTGAGCTGATGGCAACTGGAAAACAGAAATGATCCTTCAATTACAACTAGAAAGGTGTTTGCATTAGATGTAAATACAGAAACAGCTCCATCCCCACCTTTCCCTGAATGACCTATAACTTTCCCATGAGGAGAATGTATCATGAACCGTTTTGACTTTACCACATTAGGTAACAGTTGACATCACACTTGCCCAATGCACTATCGGTTTAATGACATCGCTCCTGCATCAGGAAAACACAATCGAATATAGTATTACTTTGATTTGGTTGGTTGGTTGGTTTGTTGTTTAACGCCACACTGAGCAATATTCCAGCTATATGCCTGTAAATAATAGAGTCTGGACCAGACAATCCAGTGATTAATATCATGAGCATCGATCCATGCAATTGGGATTGATGACATGCATCAACCAAGTCAGCGATCCTGACCACACAATCCTGTTAGTCGCCTTTACGACAAGCATAGTCACCTTTTACGGCAAGCATGGGTTGCTGAAGACCTATTCTACCCCGGAATCTTCATGGGTGTATTACTTTGAAACAGAAAGTCAAAGTCTGTAGTTACCTTAATAACAAAGACAGAAGCGATTCACGTTTTTAAATCTCATTCATGAACTTCCTAGAGATAATCTCCATAAAGTTTTGTCAAATTTCCATTATTTAACACCCAAGATATTGCAAACACATACTACATACCAATGAATGCTAATATTTACAAGTCATTTCAAAACAGCCATGCCATTATGACTGAATCATGACACATGGAAAGTGTTAAGTTAGTTATTTTGAACTAATTTCCAGTATTCATATGTATTTGCTACTTTTCTCCTGTTGGGTCTTGCATCCACGCTGATGACCCTATATTTGATATCTTGGAAGATGATATATCAAACATCACATCTCAATAGCAACACTGTCATGTTTACATCACTGGTGATTTAAACGCCAGAACTGGGACACTACCCGATTACATTGTAGAAGATGACGTCACTCTGTTACCAATTGAAGAAGAAGCAGGCTATTCACAAGATACTCCATGCGCAAGAACATCACAGGATACAGTCGTTAATAAACGGGGTCGTGAACTGCTTGAATTGTGTAAAATAAATGGTCTCAGGATCAGTAATGGGAGACTATTCGGTGACCTAGATATTGGTAAATCTACATATATCACAAATGATGGGCAAAGTGTTACTGACTATTTGATATGTGATGACAACGCAAGATCAATTATTAGAGACTTTAAGGTAATGACAGAAGGAGGATCTTCCCTTATGCCGCTTTGTTTTTCATTATTTTCATCAGATAACCATCCCGTTAATGGACACGAATATGTGTTACCAAGAGTTAGATATACCTTGCCACAGAACTTCAATGAAAAATATGTAGAAAACTGGAATGGTGAAAACAACCAAACTGAACATTCTGACGATGTAGACAGCGTATATGAAGAATTCTACCATGAATTTGGAATTAACTCGATTCTGATTGGTCAATCAGAGGCTATTAAATCACAATAAACCCCCTCTGATTGAAACAGCTGGTTTGACGGCCACATCACCGCGGAAGCTAATATTCATAGAATAGTACTATTTTTAGTCATTGTCGGTAGGCATATTTAAATAACTATATCTACAATTACAGGTTACAAAATGCACAGATGCGGTTACTACAATATTCAAAGGATGTGTGGCAATACATTTCGTGCAGAAAAACACGACAGAAATTAACAAAGGGAATGTATTTACGTTTTGGAGACAACAGAGAGCTTGAAATTTTGGCGCTTTTCTATATACGACTGTGACGTCATATCTTTTGCGTCACAATGAGCGATATGACGTCATAATGGTGACGCGCGATGTAGAGCGAAAGACTTGCAAAGCTTGCTTTGTTTTCTTTAGGGATGCTCACCTCATGTTAGCTTACCAAGTTGCCGTGCTTATATGCTTTCAATGCCTGTCATATGTTCGAGTGAAGTATTACGGTGTAAACAAACTGCTTGAGTATATACAGCACCATATTTTGTTCGGTGATTCCATAATTCAGATCAATAACCCACTCAAAACACTGAACTCAACCCATGCCGCTTCACTCAGTATATTTGCTAACACCAAAGAGTTCGCGTTTTATTTAGTCATGGTAGAATGGTGATAAACATACTGTGTTTTCAATGTAGAGCTGCGCGTTCAGTTCCAAATTCAATTTAGCGGGGTTAACTACAGGTAACCTAGCTCTACATTGCAAACACAGTATGTTTATCTCCTAATTTCAAAATAAGTTATTAACCTGTGCAAATGACTGTAAGAAAACATACAAAATGTCAAATTCTGCAAATGGAAGCAACTGGTATGACGACGAATGCCGAGACGCTAGGTCACATGCACGATACAAGCTGTGTGCATTTCATGCTGCCAACAACGCTCGTGCACGGCATGAATACATCGAGTCATGGAACTACTATAAACACCTTTGCAACCAGAAGTCAAAACACGCTTTTAATACATATTGTGACAGTTTAAAAACAGCACTAAAAACAAAAAAATACAGACTTTTGGAAATTATAGAAAGGACGAAAAAACCTTTGTTTTGATAACTTAAAACCATCTGACTTTGTGAATTATTTTAAGAGTGTGTTTAATAACAACTTCCTATACGAAGAACAGCAAGACTTTTATAATTACATAAACCATATTGTGTTATCCTTGTCTGTTTCTTCTATTGAAGATAATATTGATATTAATAGTGAACTTGATATAGATATATAACTCACAGCGAAATTGTTGATGCTATAAATGATATGAAAAAAATGGTTAAATTCCCTGGTTATAGTGGAATACCGATAGATTTTTAAAAAAATGCCCCTACCATATGTATTGAAATGTTACTTTCACTATTTAATCTCATTTTAAATACTGGTGTTTATCCTAAAGCCTGGTCACTAGGTGTAATTATGCCTCTATTAAAAAAAGGCAGTAGAAACAACCCTTCCGATTATAGACCCATCTCTTTACTTGAGTGTTCAGGGAAAATATTTGCTAAGATAATGTGTAAACGTTTGAACGATTGGGCAGATCAAGATAGTGTTTTAGTACCTGAGCAAGCTGGGTTTAGAAAAGGATTTAGAACATCTGATAATGTGTATGTTATCAATGCTTTGATTGATTAATATCTATTGTTACATAAAAGTAGATTCTATTGTGTGTTCATAGATCTTAAGTCAGCGTTCGATTCAGTGTGTAGGACAAGTTTATTTTACAAACTCTGGAAACGTAATGTTAATGGTAAAATATTTAGAATACTTAAAAATATGTATGAAAACATTAAATCTTGTATATTTGTTTGTGGCTACACAGACTTTTTCCATTGCCAGTCAGGTGTACGACAGGGATGTGAGTTATCTCCCTTTCTGTTTTCATTCTTTGTAAATGATATTGTTGATTTTCTTAATTCAGACGGGCAACGTAATATTTAATTAGGAATGATTGAACTTTTTATTCTAATGTTTGCAGATGATATGGTCTTATTCGATAGTACAGTAGTGGGGTTGCAAAGACGCCTCGACAAAATGAAGATTTATTGTCATAAATGGAAATTGTCTATCAATATAAGCAAAAGTAAAGTTATTGTATTTAGACGTAGTGGTCAGGCTCAAGTGATTTTATGAAACTTCCTTATAATGTACTTTTACAGATATTTGATGTAAAAATACTACCTGTTCTTCTCTACTGCTCAGAGATATGGGGCTTTCACCCATCTCAGGATGTCATCAATGTACATGATAGATTCTGTAAGAATATTTTACAATATGGGAGATTTGTCCCCAATATAGTTGCTCCTGGTGAGCTTGGACGTTATTCACTTAAAGTCAATCAACATGTTCGTATTGTCAAATATTGTCTCTGACTTGTTTCTCAAAAAACTAATATAATCCTTAGCCATGCGTATTCATATCAATACAATCTGGAAGAAAAAGGAATAAATTGTTTGGCACTAAAAGTAAAACAACTTCTTATTCATATGGTTTTGGCCATGTTTGGAATTGTCAAGGAGTAAATCATATTGGTTTTATTGATAACTTTAAAACAAGATGTATTGATAGAGATAACCAACAATGGTCTAGCAGTTTAAGAACTTACTCAAAACTTTCTTTTTATTCTTGTATTAAGCAATATAATGTATTTGAAAATTATCTAGATTGTATTCCAGTAAGTGCCTATTGTATTGCTTTGAGTAAATTTAGATGTTCTGGTCATACTTTGCTAATTGAAAATGGAAGGAAGTACAATATACCTAGAGCTAAGAGACTATGTCCATTTTGTGTAAGACCTGAAGTGGAATCTGAATATCATTTTTGTTTACAATGTCCATACTATGACAGTTTGAGACGTAAGGTTCTACCTTATTATTTTTACACAAATGTAACTTTTGATAAATTTGTAACACTCTGTACATCTAAAACCCCATGCATAATTAATGCTTTAGCTAAATTTATATTTTTTGCTTTTAAAAAGCATAATAACTTTCTCATTGGCGCTGAAATTGTCTAACTCTGATATCATGTATTGTATAATGGGCCGGTAGCCCCTTTTACTGAAATAAAGCTCCATCTCTCTATTTTGAACTAATCTTAACCGATTGCATATTAAACCTTTGATCTTTCATGTATAAATCCGAAATGTCCTGACCTGTGAAACATATTTCAGAATTTAAGTTTTAGTGACCTTGACCTGATATTGAGATAGTTATCATGGGATAACATTTATACTAAGTTATCTTATAATAATTAGATCTACATCAAGTGCTTTTATGAGTTATCGTGGTGTAATATTTATACATCATTTCATATAATTATAGTTGACCAAGTAATAAATATCATTAGGTAAAATGCATATATAAAATATCAGTAGTTTCAGTTAAAGCTGTTTTAGATGGTTGCTAGCCTAAGGTAATGGGAGCGCGTCTTCTAGACATACTATTCAATAAGACAAGAGTTACGTCTACATAGTTTAATTGA